ATGGTAGGCGGTTGACGTAAAGGGGGCGCGGGTGTCCGCGGACCCTGGGCAAGGCACCGAGACAATGGTTAGAGGGAAGAGGCGAAACTTGCGGGCTGAGGACTAAAATTGGCGCGCGAACCAACACCTACGTCTTAGTCGAGCCGTCTGGAGGAAAAATAGTATGCCTACTGAAACGTAGGAAGTAGATTTTTAGTTTGTAAGGATATGTTTGGCCTCACTAATCCTTCTTGCGTTAATTATTTATGTTTAAAACCAATGAACCATCTATCGGTCTGAATCATGCCCCCAATCATTCTAGTATTTCCAAGTCCTTATTAGAGGTGAACTGTTTGAACTGTGATAGAATTCGCTATAGAATAGGAAGAAAATAGAGTAGAAAGCTATTAGGCTTAGATGTGGGCACATGGTGAGGAGGTAGAAAGTGAGTGAGGTAGCTTTCACAGCGTGGCAGTTAATTTTCGAGGACACTTGGTTTGTGCCTTTTCAATAGAGCTGCTAGAATCTGTTCTACGGATATAATTAGACGACATTCGTTTTCTCAGGAAAGTTTTCTTCGAAACGGCTTTCTGGAAAATTTATTGATCAATATCATAACCGCAGTCAAGAAAATCCTATCGAAATATCAGTGCCAAAAAGCCAGTGAGCGTCTTCCTCCGTTTCAAGGGTGATCATCTATCCAACGTGACAAAGGGAAGGCTTCTAAATTGTTGTACATAAGCACAACAACGGCTATTCCAGCTAGACCAACCAAATACATGCTATATATACACGCCACATCAACCTGCATTTACGAGTTCACATTTATTTGCGGATGCAAATGCTTTGGGCGCAAGCAAAGGCATTTGGCAATGCGGTAATCTGAACGCATGCCGAAGTGGTTGCTCAGGGCCGACAGTAAAATAATGAGAGTTCAATCACAAAGCACCTATTGGACACTGGCTATACGGTCGACCAAAAGACTACATTCAAGATCGTATTTCGGGCTACGACCGGGCGTCTCCTACGATTTACGGACGCCGTTGCAATAAAGAGGAGAAAACTAGAAAACTTTAAGTAGCTGTATCATGTGACGATCGACCAACTCATTCATTCTCACGCCTCATAATTCCCCTTAGAACTGACTGCCACTCCGTCCTCTGTGCTCCTCCCCATTTAACCATGTCATTCAGTCAGTATATTTGGGAAAAAAATAGGCTTGCGCCTTTGAACTCCCTGTTGTCACATGAAATCTCAAGAATTATAAACAATGTTAACAAGTTTTTAGTCAGGAAAATATAGACCGTTACATAGTGCAGTGGTGTTTCAAGATTAATTTGTTAAATAGTTCACCTTGTGCTGTAGCATGTGCATATCAAGTCGGTGTTTAAATGTTTCCACAGATTGGGAAATAAAAATCGACTCAGGTAGGTTATTCAACGGCTACACGACCCGATTAGAAAACAATACTTCATAACCAATCGTCCTTGGGGAACATACAGTTTGAAGGGATGTTTCCCAAGATAAGATTTAGTGGCGAGTTGAAAAAAGTCGTCCCACATGAGAGCGCAGGCCAAGCCACGCACGATACGGCAGGCTTGTATCAAACCTCCGCGTAAGAACCTATAG